TCTTACTGTGTGGAGTAAGAAATTGTCATTACTGATTATTCATTAGGGATCTAGGGAACTTGCCCTGCACATAGAAGGGATACAATGTGGCTTTAAGGGCCAGCTCACAAAAGAACATTGCCTGTATTACAGCAGTGCTTCCCAAATTGTATCTACTCCTATGATTGACAGCTCCGTTAAGCAAGTAGTTTACTTAATGCATTTTTATGGATATAAGCAATCTCTTACCTGATAGTGCATTAATAAATAAAAGATTATTATTATGAGAAATGATTAGAAATAAAACTTTAGACATACCTGAGATGTATATTAACTTGTGAAACAATCTGCAGAGGCAGAGAGGCTCAAGGACGCTTGGCGTGGCTGCTCTCCATGGGTCTAGCCCTCTGGTGGCCGCTTTTGATTACTTTTCAGGTTTTGGATACTACCAGGTTCATTTGATTTTAGCAGAAATTATCTTTGTGTCCTGTGCTTTTTACATATTTTCATCAAACCTTTCCCTCTGTGTACATTTTTTTTCCGAGACAGAGTTTCTCTGTGTAGCTTCCTCTGTGTACATTTTAAAGGAACAGAACATATATACATAAAGTTTCTTATCTTGTCCAAAGGCAAAAAAAAGGGGAGGGTGTTCAGGTCATGTCAGGCCATTCTTTTTCAAATATCTGATTTTTTTAAAAAAAAAATTTTTTTTCAACCAAAGAAAGCTAAATTTCCTTCCTTCTATCCTAGAGAGAGGGCATTTCTAGAACTGTTCTGACTTGGAGGGGTAGGTTGGCAGTTAGTGCCATGAAAACAAGTAAATAATGAACGTAAAGAGCCTGGAGAGGTCTCTGCAAGGGCTCCAGTGCTTCGCTCCATTGCAGGGCCTAGATGATCTTATCACCAGCATCTATGTTTATTCACGTCTGTATGTTCATGCCTTACCTTCCACTGAGGGTAAGGTCTGTGCTTTTCTTTATGTATACCACTGATCCCACCCTCAGTGGATGGTGGTAGGATCTAATCTGAGTCCAGAAACTTGAAAACCGTGAGATCTATTATGTAAATCCCAGTTTGAAGACAGACGGCATGAGACATTCCAGCTGAAATAGTAAAGCAGCTAAGAGGTAGGGATTTCCTCTTTCTTCCCTCCACCTTTTGCTTATTTGGGTCCTCAATGGAATGAATGATGCCCACCCTCACCCACCCTCACCCACCCTCGTAGATAAGGAAGCCTGCTTCTGCCAAGTCTGTGAACTCCTTTTCTCTGGAATATGTTCCAGGCTGACCCAAGGCTTTCTCAGAGGCCCTGACAAAAGAACAAAAAAGAGCTGGGTTTGTGTCCTTTGCCCAGGGGCAGACTTGGCAAGGTCCAGTCTAGGGCCAGGGCCTCGAAGGAATTAAAGTTCCCATTCCTGGGAAGCTGGCCTTTCCCCCTAACAGGACTGGGGTTATCAGTCCCAAGGTTGCGGAGTGCTTGGTCTGTGGTGCACTTGAAGTGCCTAGGGTTCCCTTTGTGCGATATTGCTTGGTTAACGTCCCACTGACTTTATCCCGCGGTATGCTAGCCTTCTGCTGACTCTGTCCCATTTTCTCCTGAAAACTGTATATAAGATGCTGTATAATACTTCTTATAAAACCTCTTAATAAATCAGTTTGTTGTGAGTCATCAGCCCATGCAAGATCTCCTGGACCCAAGCTTTCAATCTTCTGTATCTTCTTGTCCCCAGTCCTCTCCCTCCTCACCATGTTGTTCAGGATCCTTATTCCTGTGGCTTTGGTGAGTCAGTAATGTGTGTGTGTGTGTGTGTGTGTGTGTGTGTGTGTGTGTGTGTGTGTGTGTATGTATGTATGTATATATATGTATATATATATATATATGAATGAAAATAGAGTACTATGTCCTCAGCTTACCACAGTGCTGCTGAATTCCTCTTCAAAGGCCTTTTACAGTGTTAACTTTATCCTACAGTATATAAATTCCTATTATGCTAATGTTGTCCAGAAACACCCTCAAAGACGCACTCGGAAACAATGCTAATCAAGGCACCTCATGACACATTCAAGTTGACACATAAAATTAGCCATCATAAAATCAAAGTAGTCGTTAATACAATTAACCATTATTAACTCGCCATTAAAGAAATGAATATTTACAATAATGACTCTGATGGTGACAAGGACAAACACATCTCCCAGCACTGAGGAGATGATCAAATGAGTTATATGTGTAGGCTGCTGAGAACGCTGTACTTGGTGCGTAGCGATTTTTTAATGTTAGCTATTATTACTTGATTTGGTCAATTAACTCCTCTTTCCACTGCTGTAAAATCATCAAAGAAGGAGGTAAAGTCAGTGTTTATAGAGGAGGAGTCGGCTTCAGGGAAGGATGGGAGGAGGATTGGGCTGGAAGAGTTCAAAGATCAACATGCAAGGTTCTTCATTTTGCGTAGAAGGGCCCAGGTGTGGTTGATATTATCCTAAAAACAATTAAACATCATACAAATGCAGCAATTGTTCTCTATTCCGCTCCTGTGCTTCACCTAATCGCTTCGTGGAGGTTTCACGTCCCTACCTTGAAAAGTTTGAGAACTCTCAGGATGTAAAATAAATGAAAAACTGCAATTAATAAAAAATGCAAAAAAAAGACAGAAAAGTTTGAGAACTCAATCTCCTATTGGATGGGTTCAGTGTGACTAGCACCCAACTCTCCCTGCCCTCCCCAAGCCCAGCCCCTCCTTCCCATTTCCCCCATCAGACATCAGTGACATCAGGCCTGGAACCTCAACATCACCTCCATCTCTCTCCTACACCCTCACATCCAAAAGACTGCAGTCTTCCCTCTGCCACACCCAGTAACCCTGCCCTATTACCTGCTCTTGCCTCACTACATCATGGAAATTCAGTGCAGCTCTTCAGCACAGTGGCCTCTTCTCTGATTATGCCTTCATTCAGGCTGCCCTCATACAAACCTCCCTCTTTGTAGCCATGGAGATAACTTGCAAATAGTCTGGTCCTACTTCCTCACATACCCCATCAATGCTTAAGCCACAGGCAAATGTGAATTGTTTTACATCACCGAGTAACTGCGTAAACTTCCTGCCATCTTCCCTGAATTCCCAAGTAAAGTTTGAAGAGGCTCCAAGAAGGAGGTCACGGCAAGATCAGCCATTACCTGTGGACCTCATAGGACAGGAGTCTGAGAGGCCTGCTCCTTTCAACCTTTCCCTGACTCTCATCCTTTTCGAGGCTGCCAAGGATCTTCGTGTTAATTGGAATTCAGGATACCCTGCATTGTATGAACTACAGAACACTTGCCCAAGCCAAGCCAACCCCCATGCCCAGGTAGGAAAGCCTCAGACTCAGACTTAAGGACACCTCCACTACAGATAGCTCCCTTGAGTTTTAGCATCAGCCAACTGAGCACCTCCCTCATGCACACATAGCAGCCTCACCCTAACTCCCTAAGGAAGGGATTGTCTCCCTTTCCTCAGTGTTTTCCAGAGTTCCCTTTTGTCCATAGGAAGTCTCTAGAAGAAAAGTCTGCTCCCGAAAGGAAGCAGCCCAACTGGGAAAACATTCGATGGGAGTTGAGAAACCAGGCAGGTCCTGGAGCACAGAGACCAGTTCTTCCATCTCTCCTCTTGCAGGCAAGCAATGCAAAATATGAGAGTCAGGGAGCATTGAGCACAAACAGCAAAGTGAAGCACTCATCTTCACTTTCTAGCATTACTGGCTGGGAAGGCAAACAGTCATCCCCCCAGTGAGTCCTAAAGGCAAGCATAGCAACGCCTCCCTAACACGGCAGGTGCCAAGTTTAGAGCATGTGCCCTCTCCTCCCCACACAAGTCTAGAGGTCTGGTACCAACTTACATTTGAGTAGAGTGTATTTGTCACCAAATATATCTGATGAGGGTCTATAGAGGCTGGGCATGGTGGTGCATGCCTTTAATGCCAGAATTCAGGAGAGAGAAAAAGGAGCTCTGTGAGTTCGAGGCCAGCCTGGTTTACATACCAAGCCCAAGGCAATCTAAGTCTACATAGTGATACCCTGTCTCAAAACAATACAAAAAATTTAAATTAAGCATGGGTGAAATGGTTAAGAATGGAGTTCTTAGGCCTGGTGTGGTGGTGGTACATGACTTAAATCTCAAGGAGGCAAAGGCACACAGATCTCTGAGTGCAAGGATAGCCTAGTGTACAGAATAAGTACACAGAGAAACCTTGCCTTAAGAAACAGGAGAGGGAGGAAGGGAGGGAAGGAGGGAGGGAGGGAGGGAGGGAGGGAGGGAGGGAGGGAGGGAGGGAGGGAGGGAGGGAGGGAGGGAGGGAAAGAACAGTTCTTAAGCAAGTGTGTATGGTGTGGTGGAGACTCTGGGAGTGCTAAGCAAGTACTCTGTCACTGAACTACATCCCAACCCAGGAGTTTTCAGAGGATAGAAATTCAAACCATTCTATTTAGAATGTGGGATCAGAGAATCCTCTCATTTTCTACTTAGTAGATATTCTGACTGTGGGGTAGACTTTGGATATTACCATATTGTAATTTGCCCTAAATGGTGAAAACTATTATTGATTATTAAAGGATCAGACTTGAAAATTATATCTGAAGCCTTGTGCATATCTCCACAGAACCTGGCATGCCTATAGGTCCAGCTACCCTCAGAAGTTCAATGTCACACACATACTGTGGAACATGTACAAACAAGATTTGTCTTTCTAAAACCTCACCTATGTATCTCTGATGCCAAGACATTATCCACACTTTAGCCATATGCAAATCCCTCCCCCTTGGGCTGTAAATGGAAAGTATAGTTACTTTATTGAAGAAGTATAGAAACTAATAGAGGCAACATCATACAAGAAGTGGGTTCATTACAGGGTCTAGCCACAGCTAAAGCTTTAAGATGTGCCCCTAGCTGTCCCTCTGATCCCTTCTTGGCCAGGGTTATTACTCCTCACAGTGTTCTTGGAGGCCACATGGAGCAAGACAGAAGAGTAGAAAAGGGAGGACTACATAATCCAGAGATCAGTGCTTCTTCTTTTAAAAATACACTCATATAAAATCCAAGCCGGAAGTTATATGCCTAACAAAGTCATGACCTTGTTCCAATTGTACAACAGTCTTACAACTAAAATATTCCCCTGATCTAAGAGGCCACCATTTAACAGCATATTTGATGCAAACTTTCATATTTCCCCATAGGTATAAAGATTAAACATTCAAATTTTCAAGAGAAATGAATTAGAATGAAGACATCCACAGCAAGCTATTTCATATCCATTAGTTATCATTTACACATCAAATACATACAGCATAAGACCAAATATACAGGATTTCCACATTTATATAGAGTAATCAACATAGTACACAATTTAAATCTATCTTACAATCAAGTGTACAAGTGGAAGTATGGCTTTATAAACTACTAACAGCAACTGTACTAAAGTAACTCATGGCTCCAGAAATAAACACTGTATGATGCCTCCACATTGGGGCCCTTGATTAGTGAGATGCTATTCACCGTGTTTACAACCCAGATGACGCAGATAAATGTCCTCCATCAGCCCCAAGCAGCTGAAAGGTGGGTTGAAATCATGCCAGTGTAGGCCCTTGCTCCCTCAGTTTCCTTATGGTAAATCCAGACATCTTCCATATGTTTGGATACACAAGTGAGACGAGAGGGTGATTACCAGGTATTAGCAAAGCTTGCATTTCAGAAAGGTGCCCAAATTCTCTGGCAATGCATGTTTTATTGAATAATTGGGGTTCATTTCCCTTGATTTTCTTGTTTTCACCTTAGTGTGGTGAAAGCATGTGGGGGCTGTCAAGGCGTTCTAGACCAAGTGTTCCCAAAAACAGAATTAAAATAGGCTCTTGTAAAAGTGAAATCTAGCTACATGAGATCCTGCCTCAAAGGAAAACAAGTGACATCTAACTGCTGATTTTTCTTGTCTCCTACTTCACATAAAAATGAGTAAATAACTTGACCCAAATCATGCATCCATATCTGTCCACTTGCCACACAGGCTACAGACACATTCTCTAATCAGTTACAGCCTTCTGGGTGCTAAGTAACCTCTCCACTCCCTTAAACTCTACTGAATAATACACTTTCTAATGTCTAGGCTGAGAAGCTTGGAAATGAACATTATAAATCAGCAGAGCCATCTACACGTATACAGCAGTGTCTACACATATACATCTGCATTTATCATAAGTAAATACAGAGAGAGAAGCACAGAAAGTTCTATGGATAAATTAAATACAACGGTTTGGACAGATGCCTAAATATAAATGATTTGTGGTGTCTCTAAACATTTTTAAAAACTTCTCAAATAAAATATAATTACTTTGTACATTTTCTGTAAGTGCTATAACTTTTCATACTAAAATGAAGTTGCAAAATCAAAGGAGTCAACGCACTGGGCCAAGCCCTGTGAGCTGCTCTGCAAATTGCCAACCCAGCCTCAGAGGGACAGTACTGGGGCATAAGCATTGAGATTGAGATGAACAGCACTCTGATCCAGAGACCATGTCTTGGTCAGAAATTAAGATAAACATTACTTCAGTGCTTCCCACACTGGCCACTTGTTTAGCCATAGGCAATCCATCACTGTCTGGACTGCATTTGTTTTTCATTTGGAAGCCTGTGCTTTTTATTATTTTTATAACATTCCATCACGTGAAAAAACTTTCCATGACCTCCAACCCAGCCACACCACACCATTGTCCAAGTCCTGGTATTTGTTGCCATTTCTTGCTTTCCTGTCTCAGTGAAAGGCTAAGAATCCCAGGAATAGGACTTGGTACCCCATGTTCCCAACCACCATCTTGAAGAAACATTCACCCAAATTAAAATTTGAGTTGTCATTTACTACAGTGCAGGTGAATGGGGGGAAAAACTGTTTACAATTGACACGATCTGATCTCAGGAGGCTTATCACTGAGGCAAAACTACTTTGACAGAGTCACAAAAACATGTCACTCCTGCTGACACAGAGACCTGCCAAACATTTCAATGTTGTCTTCCATTATATTACTGCAAAAAAAAATCAAATATAATTAAAAGTTAAAATATAGCCACTGGACATGGTTAATAATCAAAAGTGACCTTTTAGAGGGGGTAGGATTGAAAGAAATATGAGAGACCATTTGCATTCTGAACAACTATTAAAGGGGAAACTCCTCAGACTGAAGAGCCTTTCTCTCTTTTAGCCTTGAAACATTCTGTCCTTTTTGTTATCTGTTTGGCCAGTGCTAATAAACATGGCAATTTACAAGCTAAATCCATTTTTTTTTAAAGATCAGAGGATAGCCTAAGTGCTAAATAAAGAAAAAGATTACTGACAAATGAAGTATTCTAGAGCCACAGAATAAAAACAAATAAATAAAAATAAATGCTTGCTGACAGATGGTGGGAAATAAATTACTCTCATTCAGCAATACTATATTTTATACAATGAACTGGTCATGATAAATGTATGTGTATTATTCCGCAATCAGTAAACTCTTAAAATAGCTAACATTGTAATGAGGGACAGTAGTGCTTTTAAGTGCTAGGAAGCAAAGCTGGAATTAATTGTGCACAGAATTCCAAAGCACTGTAACAGTACATGGTGTGAGACCATACCCATAAGGTACTTGTTTTGCTATTGCAAAGACCCCTTCTGGTGCCCACAAACTAGATCTCTTGAAGCAATGATCCTCCTGAAACCAGAGCTTTGTAGTTGCCATGGTCTAGCAAGATGACTTTTGGAAACTCTGGGTCTGGAGAAGTTCTCTGTTTATGCAAAAGCCAGAACATCCCATAACAGTACTCTGAAGGGCAAGGTATTGACTGGTTCTGGCAATCACTGCTTCAGGATTTCAGATATTCTTCAAAGTCCCAAAACCTAAGCTCCAGGTAAGGAACTGAAATAAAGAAAGCATCCTACATGCATCTGTTACTTACCCATGGCATTAAGTAAGAATTCTACAGGCAAGGGGCACTCTAGGCCTATCCACCCACCAAGGGGATCCTTGTGAACTTTACAGGTTCATTCAGGTCACCAGAAGCACTGAGTAAAGGTAAATAAATAAAGCATGTCACAGTTGCACACCATTGATCTCTGGGCCTGTTAATGATGGACTCAGCGCTCAGCTTTCATAGTGAGAACTATTTGCCACTAAATATATTTTCCTATGTATTCAGCATATTAGTCATAGGTCTACTCAAACAATACTGAACACCCAGAAAGGAACCCAGGTCAGTCAAGAGCACTAAAGATAACTTTGTTCTGTTTTGTTTTTGTTTTTTAATGGAAGAATAAACTGAACTTTTCCCTACCAGCATAATACATCACCATTTTATTGAAAATAGAATCAGCAATTGATCCACAAAAAAATGAACACAGGAAAATTTGTTGCATAGATCTTATTCCATAAGAAAAAAAATCCAACCAGTTCTTTCCAACCTCCAGCCCCAAGACCACTGCTTACCCACTCAGAAGTGGTGGGTTTCAGGGCAAATATGATGTTTACTTGGTCCTGAACTCATTCTGCTACATCAGCTTCAGAAGTGGTTGAAAATAAGTCACAATGACAACAGCAAACTCTGTCACTTTCAGAATTGTAAATCCGGGGCTAGAGAGATGGCTCAGTGGTTCAGAGTGATTGCTACTCAATCCTGAGGACCACAATTCTTATCTTCTTTATTGTGAGCCTAGCCTTTAATAGCTGAGCCATCTCTCCAGCCTGTGAGAACCAGAATTCTAGTCCCAGCACCCACTTCTTGCAAACACCCATATCTCCAGCTGGGCAGGATCCAATTCCCCATACTGGCTAGTGTACCCTCAAAGGTGCGTACATCCCCACAGAAATGTACACACACATACAAATAAAAATTCTGTCTGAATAAAGATATTTTTTCAAACAATGTGGGACAGCTGTTCTTTGTTCTCTCTGTCACTCAGCACATATTCAGTGTGAATAACAATAGACACCATGTTTGCTTGCACATCTCATACCAATTCTCTCCTCCCTGGATGTGTAAAAGACAAGAACAACACCAACAGTGATGTTTAGAGACTCTTTGCAACAAGACCTCCTCATCTGGGGTCGGTGGACCCCCTGAGGGATCAAAGAGCAAATCCACTTTCCAAATCTTTGAATTTATATGTAAAATTGTAGATATTTGCATACTTGCACTTTTCTGGGAATAGAGCCTAGGACTCTCATTAGATTATCAATGGAGGCACTGACACACACAATGAAAACCCATTACTTTCTAGCATGTGGCCCACTTTCTGAGCATGCTTTTCCCATCTAGCCTTCAGGGAAGGAAATGATAAGTGTTTTTGTTTTTAGAGGGAAGGGGGATGATAATAAGTTGGGAATTCTTCATGCGGAACTGATGAAGTTGGGCCTTAAGAGATGGTGATTGGGGCCAGAGGGTAAGGCATTTCAACAGAGGGGCTGGCATGACCAGAAACACAAAGGTGGAGAACGGGAGGCATGTAGAGGTAGTGATAAGTGGATCTGCCACACTAGAGGGTGTATGGAAGAGCCATGGGAGACAAGAGAAGTGAGAATATTGAGCCCTAAGGAGGAAGCCTCAGCCTGAGGCAATAGATACCCCCTACAGACCAAAAGTTTTTTCCAAAGATTGCTCCAGTGGTAATGTGTGAGATGGATCTGGAAAGAGTCTGGCCATGTAAAAGTTATCACACAAATCAAAGCAAAAGAGGTGCTCTGGAGTCGGTGTCATGTCTGCCTTGTCAGCTACTCTACAGCTAGTGGGCATCCCAGGGTCAGAGCCAGGACAGACGCTCAGTGCATACTCAGTGAGTGAGCGACTGAATGAACACAAGTTATTTTAAAGACAATAAAAGACAGGAAGGGGAGTATTGGATTTGAAAATACATCCTGTTGCTATTCACAGAGCCTGGCAGTGCCACACATGGGATAGATACTGAGGAAAGGTCTCTTGAATTGGCCTGAACTAGGCCGGCTAGATGTGGGAGGTGAGAGTGATGTAGCAGGAATCCAAGACTCAGAGTGAGGCCGGGCTTGTTGGTACTGAAACATGGAGCAATTGTTCAGAACATGGGTTTGCACGTAAACCAAAGCAAGGGGGTGTGATGGCGAAGCCCTCCAGGGCAAGGTGAAAGACCCCAGCTGTGGGTCTTAATCTTCAAATACACAGTGTGTGATGGAGACAGCGATGACCTCTGTGGCTCTCTTGCGAGGACCTCTCTAGAGCTATGTCCCAGACCTTCAGTTCTATGCTTGCAACCAAATCTAGTACTTCCTTTCCTTGACTCGTTCTCATTTCCCAACATAGCTCCGTGCACATGGGCAAGACTCACCTGAGGTCTAGACTGCAATAGTGTGATTCAAGTCCAAAGTGTTCTAAGTCTGTGATCAACGATATGGTGGCCATGGCTTTGGTAGTGTCACTGGTCACAACTTATTATAGGACAACAAAATGGTAAAATCTGACAACATAGTCTATTTCTGCATAAATGTGTGTTGTCCTTTAAATTGTCCTGATGGATCCAAACCATCCAGCCACTGCTCACTAATCCTGATTGTGGAGTGGGAAGCAGACATATAGGAAGCTTTGTTTCTATAATAAGAGGCTAAAGGAAACACGTGGCCCTTGTATTTTTCTGTCCAATCAAAAGCATCTATTTACATAAAATATTGTGCTTCCTTACGTTACTTTCCAGAAAAAATAAAAATAAAAAATAAATAAATAAAAAATCTTGAGTGAATGAGTGAAATGCCCCCTAGTTTCTTATTGTTGTCCTTACAAGTAGCACCTATTCACCAAACTGGACAGGGCTTCAAATCTGGGCAGCACATAAAAAAGTAAAGCCCTCCCATTAAGGACCCACACTGCCATGATTTTTATCTTGGTCATTTTGTTTCAATACTCCATACGGAGGAGGGAAACAGAGGTATATTCTCAGGTTCTATTCAAATTTGTGTCTACAAAGTACCCAGTTGTGAGCTGTCCAAGCACCCAGGACTCCAGTTGGCAGTGCCCATTCACTACATCCCTTGAGGGGTACCTGGATGAAATGAACTTCCCTACAACTTAACAACAAACACTGCCTATGTATGGAGTTCCCCTCCAAGTAATGCATAAGAAAGCAGTTATTAATCCACATACTTATACTCAGAACATTCTTACAGGGCAAAGCATCACAAAGGAAGAATAAGTCAGTTCTATGCAAAGTGTCAAGCATTTCTTTCCAGCTGAGAGAGAGGAGCGGGCAAGAAAACCTGTACCCAGTCAGGCCCGCAGTCCTCCTAGCCATGCTTTATTCAATGGTTTCCCTCATCACATAGAACTGCCAGCAGATGCTCAGAACACCAGGAGACAAACAGGACACCCACATGACGCCAACCACAAGCATGCCTAGTCATGCACACCTCCTCCACCCCCTTCTTACTATTCATCAAGCAGTTCCTCTTTAATACAAAATATCCATAGCTAAGTTTTCTACAGGTAAGACTTTCCAACATAAGAGTTCAACATTATTCCCATTCCCATATGCCCTACAGCTGCTTCAGCGGCAAACATCTTCAAAACGCTCCCTCTTTGCTCTTCGAAAATGAACAACACTCTTTAAAGATTTTTGTGGAAAATCTATATTAAAAATAGGTTACTTTTCAAGTAAATTACATTCATGTCTCAGAAACTTCCATCTTTGAGGGGCCTCATCAACCCTAAAGTAACCTTTACCCAGAAGGTTGGTCAGAAGCAAAGCCATTGGTTTGCAGTTAAGTCTTACAGCCCAAATTCACAGCCACCCCACAGAAACCTTGCCCCACAATTGCCTAGAAAATGAACTAAGCTATCCAAAGCTGCCTTCAGAGTCAAATACCAATACAGGAAAATCCCACCAGTTTGGGGGCTCTGGAGAGAGGGAAAGCGAGGGCTGATGGGAAGGGATGAGAGATCATGAAACACTAGGATTTGGTGTCCATGCTGTCTCGCTCTCCCCGACAGTGGGACACCTGACCGGGGCATTAAGGAAACTGCAGAGGACTCAGACACAAGGAACACCTTCATGCTTCTCTTTCCAGGGCATCTTTGTCTTCAAAAGGTCACGACAGTTGACAAGCTTGTGCCTACAAAAGTCAAAGGCTTTCCTTCACCTCTGTTAACCTGCCATAGTCCTAAGCTTTATCTTCTCCCAATCAATAAATGCAGGCAAGTTAGCACTTGGGAGGCAGCAAAGCCACACGTCAGTGCATTCGGCAATGAAAGAAATGCTGTTCTGCAAGTGCCCAGAGCTGAGGACCCCATGTAGCTGATGATGATTTGCGAAGCTACTTCCAAAGTTCTTCCAGCCACGTCACAAAGAAGAATGTCACAGTCCTAACAGGCTTGGTGTGTGTTTCATCTGCACGGCCCTTTGCAAGCAACTGTGCTTGTTGCCCAAATATGGAAGTCCTGTGCCCTCAGATCTTAACATTTACGAAGCCCAGTGAAGAGTAAAATTTGTTCACATTGCACCACTTCCAGAAGGTTTAAAGCGCCATACTAATGCTGCCACATGAATCCCCACAACACCCCTGTGAGGTAGGTAGGTGGAGAGTATTGTCATCCCCACGTTACAGGTGGGATAAATGAGGCACACAATAGTTAAAGGACCTGCCCCAGATCACACAGCTAGTCACTGGCAGGGTTGAGAATGAAAACTCCTGTTGCATAGCACCCCCCACTCAGCGCTTCACACACAACAGCTGTCCACTGAATATCGGTGGACTTCATTGACTTCTGTCTCAACATACAAGTACACACACAACGTACAACAGCGGCCAAAGGACATTATCCCCTCCATTTTTTCTGACGATATCTCTCATTACTTAAAACCCTGGTAGATGAAAGATGTTCAAGAGTCCACCTGACAACCGAGTCCTCAATTGAAAAGGAGCAATAAAAACACTCAGGTGACGCCCATTCATGTACCTGCCCTCCCACACAATATTGGTTTTCTAATGAAAACAAAAATGGATTTCAGGTACCATGCTGATATTTGTTTTGTCTGTTTTAAACGGAGCCATCTGAATGGTTCTGTGTTTTGTTTGTACAAAAAAAGAAATAAGGCGGCTTATAGTCCGGTTAGCATGTTAAAACTGAGCCAAGCTTGAAGATCTCCTCCCAGCTCAGGTGGATTTCTACCTGGGAAACCAGACCAGCCCAGGGAGTGGCAACCCCTAAGGAAGAGGGTCAGCGGCGGCGGGACATCACTTGCACTGTTCGTGGTCTGTGTAGTCATCCATGTCTACGTCAGAATCAAAGAGAGAGTGTCCGGTGAAATCCGTGTCTGGCGTCCTGGAAAAACTGTTCTCAGCCCCTTCATCTTCAAAGGTCTCTGTCCTTGAATAGAAGCTAAAGTCCAGCATGGGTGTGTGAGTCTTGCTGGCCTCGCTGCTCTCCTCAGACTCATAGATGGTATTGTCGTCATCATGGTGCCACTCAGGCCAGAATTTCCTCCTGATCCTCTCACAGTACATGGCGAGGTTGATCAGCTCCCCTGCAGTGTGGCAGAGAAACAAGAGTTAGTTCTCAGGGGCTGTGGCCTGACAGTGATGCGGTCAGAATGCCTGTGTCCCCCGGAATCTAAGCACCACAATTCCAACTCCCAAGGAGATGTCAGGAGATGGGACATCAGGAGGTCAGGAAGATGAGATGAGCCCTCATGACTGGGATTAAAACCTCCTGAACAAGGCTCAGGTAGCTGCCCCTTGCACTATGTGAGGACCCAGTGAGGAGGCACTGCATCTGTGAACTGGGAAGCAGGTCCTCCTCAGACACCAACTCTTCCACACCATGATCATGGACCTCCCAATTTCAAGTACTGTGAGGAAAAAAATGGCTTTCACTTACAAACCACCTATTTTGTGATATGAAGGAGACAGGAAGTAGTCAGTGGACCTCCTAGGAAATTTGAAAGAATGAAGTGGGGTAAATGTTTTTCAAGTAGGAAAGTTAAAATCAGTGAGCAGGCTGAGTGGGAAAAGACGAGTGTGTCCTACAGTGGCCAGAAGTAGACGGGCAGTTTACATAAATTGGCACTACATTCTGAGCATCTGGCTTTGTGAAACATTTTATCGCTCCACACCTGGATGGCAAAAGAACTAATGTGTCTACTCATGAATATTTAAGTAAATTTATAAACATCAATCCAGGCACAAAACCTTTGACCTACAATCTGTTCTGCCTACAAGATCCGTAAGGGCAATGGGGGCACAGAACTTACAGCAGTAGCCAACTAGTGTCTGATTTGACATAAGGCCCCCTCCACAAGAGGAACCCACACCTGATACTGTGTGGGTGACCAAGAACCAGAGACTAGATAGCCCAGAGACCTGGGGTAAAACCAAACACTATTGGTCTGAAAAAAAAGGTATCAATAAAATGACTCCTAATGATATTCTGTGATCCTCATAGATCATAGATCAGTTCCTTACTCAATTATCATCAGAGAAGCTTCCTCTGGCAGCAGATGAGAATAGATGCGGAGACCCATAGCCAGACATTACATGGAGAGCTCAGGGAACCCCTCAGAAGAGGAGGCAGAAAGAGTGTAAGAGCCAGGGGGATGGAAGACAGCAGGAGAACAGCACCCTATGAATCAACTGAGCAAGGCTCATATGAACTCAGAGACTGCAGCAGAAGCACAGGGCCTGCAGTGGTCTGTAACAGGTCCTCTGTGTGTATAATAGAGCTTTTAGCTTGGTATTTTTATATGTCGCCTGACTGAAAATGTGTGGGTCTCTGATTCTTACACCTTCTCTTGAGGCTCTTTTCTTTCTGCTGGGTGGCCTTGTCCAGCCTTGATATGATGGCTTTTGTTTTATCTTATTATATTTTATTTTGTCATGTTTGGTTGTTATCTCTTAGAAGCCTGTTCTTTGCTAGTAGGAGACAGAATGGGAGTGGACCCAGAGGGGACGGGAGGTAGGGAGGGACTGGAAACAGTATAGGGAGGGGAAACTATAATCAGGATATAGTGTATGAGAAAAGAATCTATTTTCAATAAAAGGGAAAAATGAAAATAAATTTTAGAAAGATTAAAAACTATGTCTTATATTTTCCATAAAGTGGACAGTTAAAAATTGTTCTTATGCTGGGTGGTGGTGACGCACACCTTTAATCCCAGCACTCAGGAGGTAGAGCCAGGTGGATCTCTGTGAGTTCTAGGCCAGCCTGGTCTAAAGAGCGAGATCCAGGACAGGCACCAAAGCTACACAGAAAAACCCTGTCTTGAAAAACCAAAAAAAAAAAAATTCTTACACAAAACTCAAGTTCAAGACGATCAAAGACCTCAACATAAATCCAGATACACTGAACCTGACAGAAGAGAAATCAGAAATAATCTCTAATGCATTGGTACAACTTCCTGAACAGAACACCAATAGCACAGGTACTAGGATGAGCAACTAATAAATTTTCTGTAAGGCAAAGGACACCATCAATAGGACAAAACGGCAGCCTACAGAATGAGAAAAAGATATTCACTAACCCCACATTCAGCAGAGGGCTGATTTCCAAAATATATCAAAAACTCAAGAAGCTAGATATCAACAAACAAAATAATCCAGTTACAAAATGGGGTACAAATTTAAACAGAGAATTCTCAACAGAAGACTCTCAAATGGCTGAGAAACACTTAAGGAGATGTTCAACATCCTTAACCATTCAGGGAAATGAAAATCAAAATTACTCTGAGATACCATCTTACACCTGTCAGAATGGCTAAGATCAAAAACACTGATGACAGCCCATGTTGGAGAGGATGTGGAGGAAGGGGAACACTCCTCCATTGCTGGTGGGAGTGCAAACTTGTATAGGCACTTTGGAAGTCAGTGTGGCAGTTCCTTAGAAAATTGAGAATCAATCTACCACAAGACCCAGATATACCACTCTTGGGCCTGTACCCAAAGGATGCTCAACCATATCACAAGGACACTTGCTCAACCATGTTCTTAGCAGCTTATTTGTAATAGCCAGAGCCTGGAAACGACCTAGATGTCCCTCAACTTAGGAATGGATAAAGAAAATGTGGTACATTTAAACAGTGGAGTATTACTCAGCTGTTAAAAACAAGGACACCAGGAAATTTGAAGGCAAATGGATGGAACTAGAAAAAAAATTATCCTGAGTCAGGTAACTCAGACTGATAAAAACAAACATGGTATGTACCCACTCTTAATAAATAGTCATAAATGACTATTAGCTGTAAAATAAAGGATATCTGTGTTATAATCCACAGACCCAGAGAGACTAGGCAACAAGGAGAATTCATGGGGGACACACAGATCTCCCTAGAAAGAGGAAATAGAAGAGATTCTGTGAGCAGACTGAGGGCAGGTGTGGATGGAAACATGAGGTTGAGGCAGGGCAGAGGGGGAGAGTGTTAAGGGGGGTTGCTGGGGGGCTGACATTTCGGGGCCAGGTGGAAGCCTGATGCAGGGGAATCTCCCAGGAGTCTGTGGAGAGGAGCCTAGCTCAGACTCCTAGCAATGGTGGATAGAACAGCCTTAACTAGCTCTCTCCTGTGACCGGATTGGTGCCTGGCCCAACTATCATCAGGGAGGCATCATGCAGCAGCTGATGGAAGGAGATGCAGAGACCCACAACCAAACAGTAGGTGGGGTTCAGAAATCCTGCAGAGGAGGAGGAGGAGAAAGAAGTGTAGGAGCCAGAGGGATCAAGAACACCATGGGAAGGCTCACACATTCAACTAACCTGGCCTCATAGGGGCTTGCAGAGACTGAAGGAACAACCAGGGAGCCTGTATGGGACTGACCTAAGCACTCTGCGAATGTTATGGTTGTGTAGCTTGATCCTCTTATGGGACTCCTAAAAGTGGGAACAGGGGCTATCTCAGACTTTCACTGGCTTCTGGGACCCTACTCCTCATACTGGGTCACCTTGCCCAGTCTTAATACATGGGGAGGTGCTCAGTCTTACTGCAACTTGATATGCCATGTTTTATTGATGATGACCTGACCTTTCCTGGATAGAGACGGAAGAGGAGGAAATTGAGGGCTGGGAGGGGGAGTGGGGGAGAGAGGGAGGGGCGGGAGGCTGTGGCTGGGATGTAAAATAAATAGATGGGAAAAAAATAAAGAAGTGTCCTTACAGATAAGTGTGCCTACAAACACATATAATAAGACTTGTATTTTTATTCTTTTAAATATTTTAAGTTAAACAGCTGTACACAAAATTATAAATAGTATCTGACCACCATTTCCCAATTCCAGAAGAAAAATGAAGAAATTGTATGAGTTTTGCCTTTGATCCACCAGATGGCAGTGTTGCTTAGAAATAGTAACGACCAAATCTTTTACTCTAAATCTGTCTCTTTTTAGCTATACAAACATTTTACATTATTATACTTATTACATATTTTACATTATTATTACTTATTATATGTGTAATTCATGTTTAGTGAAAAAACTAGGAAACACATAAGATAATAAAAATAAAAAAATGTCCAATAACCCCATTCTCAATAACATTTTTTATATTCTTGTAGAAATGTGCTTTTAAGTGTTTACACAAACTTGCATTGGCTACATAGTCTGTCCCTGTCCTTTTTCTACTTAATAACACACAGCGAGGATCTCTGCGTTTCACAGTGTATTCACCCATGGTTATCTCACAGTGTATTATTACGTGAATGCACCACACTCTAATTTTCTTCCAGACCCTTGTCAAAGCCATTTCACTTGTTTCTACCCTGATGGCTGTTGATTAGAGTCTAATTACTCTGGTTTACTTTCTATTAGAGAAAAATAACATAATCTGGAAGATTACAAGTCTGTGGATGAAAAGTATATAAATATATAAAGAAAACACTACACTTACCATCAATCCAAGGGAATCACTGTTAACATTTTGATTTAATTTGTCTTTTCTACTTATTTATTGTTGTTAGCCTTTACCCCATTTAACATTACTGTAAACATTTTCCGGTGTCATTAAAACTTTCCAGACCCTGATTGTTGTTTTCCTTAAATTTATACCCCTCTATAAACACAACAACACAAGAGCCCCTGCTTTATGGACCTATAAATATAAGGTCTTCTTAAATCACAATAGTGTGATCTACATGGTTTAAGATCCCATGCTATAGATAGCCCAGCAAAATAGATGAGATCTACATGAGCAAACTGGGAGTGAGGGCAGGTAATGGAGGGCAAGGGATGGGGGATGAGAACATAAGGGAACAAGAGGTTCGAGCTGGAACAGGGACAAAGTGGGAAAGCAAGGAAAGAGATATCATGATAGATGGAGACATCAGGGAATAGAGAGAAGCAGAGTGCTAGGGAGGTTCCCAGGAATCCATAAGGATGAACTGTAGCCGTAAGATCTACAGACACACACCATTTAAGGCTCTGCCGTTGGGACTGCCTCTCTTTGTATGCCCTTGTCTCTTTACCTTTCTTTTCCAGAAGAACTGTTCCCTGGGGGTGTGATCCTCATGTCACTTTTGTGTGAGATCATGAAAAGTAATAATCGGTC